CACACCTACTGTACACTGTACAGCTATGATTCTTGTGTTATTATTCACTTTCAAATAACTAGGTCAATGACCTACTTTTCATGCTAGTGGCCCCTGAATATTTCTCGAAAAATACCGCAATTTTTTACTCTATGACCCATATTTTCTTTACTCACAATATATTACAGGTAATAAAACTCTTTTGATAACGAAATATAAAAGGAATGAAAAAGTATATTTACATATAAATAAACAATTAGAGTTTGAGCCATAAACTAGTTAATTATTTCAGTCCGAATTTCCTCTGTCAATTTTCTAATTTTTACCAATTTTTAACCTAATATTACAAAAATCTGAATAATAAAAAATCTAAATCATTTATAGCCTCAGTTAACTTTTGTTGCCCTTATTCTGCTGGTATTAAAATTATATGAGGTCAATGATCAAATTTTTGAGATATGATGTCTGGAATGATTTTCGTTCATATTTTTGGAATTCTTTAATCCATGTCATTAAATCATTTGAAATGATACATGAGCTATTGGTGTAGACCTTGAGTGTGTATAAACTTTTACAACTATTATCAACTGAAAATGTTAGTGAATTAAGCAAAACACTTAGAAATTAACGTTCGTAAACTGCAGATATTTTTTGTTGCAATTATTATATGCAAACAATATTATGTTAAGCCAAGTGTATGTAAATACTTTATGTATGTTCATTCTTTCTGTTTTTATATATCTTTCATTTTGTAATTGCCTGATGATTTTGTAATCTGATAAGCCATATGCCTTAAGGGTGACGTTTACTAAGATAACAAAAAATTCAACTGATAAGAACAAAAAAAAAAAAACAAAACAAAAAAAAAACAACAACAACAACAACAAAACACACCTACTGTACACTGTACAGCTATGATTCTTGTGTTATTATTCACTTTCAAATAACTAGGTCAATGACCTACTTTTCATGCTAGTGGCCCCTGAATATTTCTCGAAAAATACCGCAATTTTTTACTCTATGACCCATATTTTCTTTACTCACAATATATTACAGGTAATAAAACTCTTTTGATAACGAAATATAAAAGGAATGAAAAAGTATATTTACATATAAATAAACAATTAGAGTTTGAGCCATAAACTAGTTAATTATTTCAGTCCGAATTTCCTCTGTCAATTTTCTAATTTTTACCAATTTTTAACCTAATATTACAAAAATCTGAATAATAAAAAATCTAAATCATTTATAGCCTCAGTTAACTTTTGTTGCCCTTATTCTGCTGGTATTAAAATTATATGAGGTCAATGATCAAATTTTTGAGATATGATGTCTGGAATGATTTTCGTTCATATTTTTGGAATTCTTTAATCCATGTCATTAAATCATTTGAAATGATACATGAGCTATAACACACATAGTAATTGCAAAGTGATGTTTAAAAACACATATAATCTTTACTTTGTGAATAAAATTGCGGGAAAAAATGTGACAAAATTTTTTTTAAAAATTTAAATGTAGTCCGAATTTCCTCTGCATCACCATATATTTACTTTTGTTCTTGCATATTTTCTTCAAATAATGAAATACTAAATTTTTTAATTGATATTGAGTTATAACATGGTTATTTTGTCTATTTAGAATAATTTTTGATTTTACATATTGTACTTTATAGCATTCCGTTTTTGTCATCTAAAACCCTGAGCAAACGACATCCTTAAGGAATAAATAAGAAAAGTTCTCCAAAAAAAAATTATGAAAATAAAAAAAAAATAAAATAAAAAAAATAAAAAATAAATAAATAAATAAAATACAATAAAATAAAATAAAATAAAATAAATAAATTGGCATATTTTGTATACATGTGTTGCCCATGGATTATCCAGCAAATGATTTTTTGAAATATTTAGAAGATAATTCTTTTGACCACAACTGAATTGGAAACTGCAAAGATTCCTAATATTGTATCATTTTGAGTTTGGTTCATGAGAAAAAAACTTGCCATTTCTGGAATTTAAATATGAGAGAGGTTATATAGGTCTAATTCTGTGAACACTTAACAAAGACGAGTTTTTCCGGTACTTGAATCGTTCATAACCTGGAATTGAAATTATATCAGCATATTACTTACGCCAAAACGGAAAACAGTATTTGGGTCAATGTCAGCTTTATATTAATTCCATTACCCCATCCTATTCAATGTACATGAATTCTCTCTCTCTCTCTCTTTCTCGCTTCCACTATTTTTTATAATAATTATATATATAATAATCTATATATATAATTTTTATAAAATTATTGTCTGGTGGTTTCAGGCCCATAGGAAGCAATTTCAGTTGTTTTTTTTTTTTGGGGGGGGGGGGGGCAGTCATACATTTTAAGTTGGGGGAGGGGCACTTTCAACTACCAAAATTCCTTGACAAGCAAAAAAAAAAAATTATTAAGGGGGCACAAAAATATAGTAGCTATGTTTTCTATAGTAATCTATATATCGGCAAAATATTGGGGTGGGGGTGGGATGGGGACACCCCCCATTCCTACGGCCATGGGTTACATGATCCTTTCTTCAAAATTCCATAAGATAAATGAAATGCATTTGAGGTACAAAATTTTTATTATATTATTCAATGTAGAATATAAAGATAACGAACAGTGATCAATCTCGCATAAACCCAGTAAATTGAAGTATATTCAAATCGAGGCCCCTTGGGCTTGTGTGGGCAACAAAGGGAGTTGAAGTGTTTAAAGAAATATAAAAGAGAAATCTTTTACAATTTATTTCTCAAAACAGAAGCAAAAATTTATTTGAAAACATTCCGATGTAATGTAGATTTAGATTTATCAATTCATGATCATTGAAGCAATTTATTGATGGAAGAATACTACTTATGAATATATAGAAAAGAACAAAGTGAGGCCATCTTTAAAAAAATGTTTGTTTACCCTCTCCCGATCGACTGGCTAAAAAGAATCCGACTTAAAACTTTTTTCAACCTCAAGGAAACAATTACTTTTTTAAATTTATTCAGAAGTTTCCTAACCTATAAATAACTATTTTAACTTCATATTCGCAATTTTTGAATTTAAAAAAAAAAAGCCCCTACCTACCCATCCAATTTTTAATCCTGAGTCGGGAGAGCACACATTTTTTTTTAAAGATGGCCTGCCCTTGCCCTTAATTATTATATAAGCGCATTTATAGGGAGTGCAGATTAGTAACCGTTGGTGTTTGGGTGACGGTGTGGTTGGTTGGAGTCACATTAGGGAATAGAGCACGCATACAAGACCATACTGCAGTATTAAAAGTTTTACACGTACTGTAAATGTATTATATTTAACGTGTACGATATTGGGCGGAAATAGTTTTTACAACGAGTTAGCTATGATTTATTTTAAAGCCCGTAGAAAGCGGCCGGGGGGGGGGGGGGCAGCCCCCACTTTTTCTGCTTATAGTATTCTGCTATAGATAGTTTTCAGTAGGCCCAAATTATCAAGAGTTATTTCCCGTTGGCCGCCATATTGGAGGTCAACATGCTCATATTCCTTCATTATTCAACCAACTTTAACTTTTTATACTGGCCATTGTGGTGTAGGAAGCATTGTTTTTCTGAAAAACATACATTTGTTAAAGCCTCCTTCATTTCATAATTTTTATTCCATAAAGATTCTCCCCCAAATATTTCTGCTACACCCTCTTAAATCTGGTAAGACAAAGAGGAAAAATTACCAGGTTGACCACCAAGATGGCGGCCAAGGAAAATAACTTGGAGAGAAAATACGTCGTATGAAAACTATCTATAGTAAATTTTCATTTAGATGCTAACTGCCACCCCCCCCCCCCCCTCCGAAAAAAAGAAAAGAAAAAAAAATCTTTGCTGTCAGGTCGAGCATTGGCAAATTCCAGGAGTTTGACAGTTAAGGGTATATATTTTTTTTTTGCCTGTCAGATTATTTTGGGAAGTTTCACTTTACAATATCTCAAACTAGATTCTAGTGCATCTTAAACTCTATTTACTACTTAATGGTTTTGGTAATATACATGCGCGCAAAAATATAAAAGATTAATTTGCTGACCTAATTAAAAATAAATTTTAAAAAAATCAAGCTTTATGTGTTTGACAAGATTTTTATGTTAAACCTAATCATATTAATTATAAATACAACTTCCAAGAATAGATTTCCCGTATTGTGGCATGCTGTGCAATGTAAATTTACCGATATATTAGGTTCCTCTATCACAATATATATCAGTGATATGATACCAGCAGGCTACGGGTATAGAAAGCAGAAATAATATTTTTTGCTATTGTGAAGTTTTTTTCTGCAGATATAGATTGGAGAAAAAAAAAGCGGAATAAAGACCTTTTGCTACGAATAAACGTTTTTCAATGTTATGAAAACAGACACTAAATTTATTTTTATATACATAAAATAAATCAGAATACGTTTAGCCATTTTAAGTTTATTTTTTCAAGATTTCTCAATAATGTCCTATTAAAAGATACAGCTTTGAATAGGGAATTTAAAAAAATTGAGAATTTTAGATATCACAAAAAAATCTATAAATTCTTAATATATTAGGAATTTGATATTTGTATTAAATATCAAAATAAGCGAAGCGTAGTTACAAGTCCTTTTATCCATTTTTTTTCCTTGAAGCAAGCGTCTCAGCCATTATTATATCAATTCAAAGTTACCAGATTTTAAGAGTGTAATGTTTTAAACAATGAATTTTAAATCTAAGCACACATTTTTCCTATTTACTATTTTACTGGACTTGAGTATTGTTTTATAAAACCATAATTACAGTATATGTAAACATCATTTTAATTATATCAATTTTAAGACTTTGTCTTTGATAACACTAACCAGAATTTAATACCCACTCCATGCAATTTACCCACAGATTACGCATCCTTCATCAAATTTAATAATATATAGTTTTTTCCCGAATATAACCTTGAGCAATGCAGCCCATCACTATTTGATAACATAATATATAACATATTGTCAAGTCTAAAATGGGGGTTGGGGGTAGGGTGGGGATGAGACCTCTGATCAAATGTTCCTCAGGTCCATAGTTTATCTGCTTGTATACAAAACTTATAATTGATACATGTAATATAAAGTTATACATTACATGAATATTAAAACAGTTGTTAAGTAATATGTGCTGCAATGCTTTTGTATAGTATAGAATTATGTGAAAATCAATCTTGTACAAATGAACAATATATCAAATTGACAAATCAGCATTACGTAATGTCTTTCTGACATAATTCTATTTTTGAATAAAAATCTGCATTATGTCTCAGTCATGATGCAGAAGTTTTAGTGATAAATATAAAATATGCCAGAAAGACAATAATGGTCACATCCGCCGTGTGCTCCTTGTCATGATCGGGTAAACGGAAAAATTCCGTAGAAATTTCAGTATGTAAATAATGACCTAACAATAAGTATGAAAAAAGTCAATCAGCATTTGACTTAATGATAAATTGCAATTTGCTGATGTCATTTTATCGATCATAGGACTTGCGAAATGATGACTTCAAACAAGACTGTTGATATCCTTGTTTCATCAGCTTGCCTCGTTTTAAAAATTGATCGTGTCTGACTATGTAGAGCATGCTTTTGCGTATCGAATCAACTGGGAGATATAAACCCCATATGCAGGTGATATGGGTATATTGCTACATAAGTAAGGGAAGTTGACAATAGAAAAGTTGAAGTCATTTGTTGTTAGATTACCATTAACGTCCTTTTTCTGGTAATATATCCAACTATGAAACAGATGTATCAGACTCTGTGGTGTCTTTTATTTCAACTTCACTGGGATATATAGAATCGACATATGAATGGAAGTAGGTTGTTAATTGATAACACGTCGTCGATATATCTAAATGTCGAGTTGAAGGCCACAGCGAGCGTTTTCTTCTTCTTATGTTAATACAAAAATAGATCTGCTAATAACAGGGCGCAATTGGTATCAATGGAAATTCCAACAGATTGTTGGAAGAACTGATCTCTCAAAACTACATAGATATTGTCAATCAGAAACTCAAGCATCTTTTTAATATCAACTTCAGAGTTTTAATATAAAAGACATTTATTAATAAACAAATATACTTTGAATATTTTATTTAGTACGAAACCAGACAAAACCTCTGCCTCAATAATAAATTTAATATTAAAAAAAACCCAACCAAACAAAACAAATGACATGTACAAATCTTAAGAGTATTCAAGACAAAAGATTTATAATTAAGAAAGATGAGCACAAATAAAAGATATCTTTACTTGCTGATAGGTTAATCGATTAATGCTAATTCTTGACGTCCTTTTTAATAATGAGATCATATACATGAAATAATATTTTTTTACATTTTGATTTTTTCGTTTCATCGAGAAACGTGTAAAACAGAGCAAGAAAAATCAGGAAGGAAAATGCTATACTACAAATCTATGTACATCATCTATATCTGATCAATTTTCAAAGAGCAGGATCTATTAAAGGACAGAAAATGAGATTTCGTTTGAAATTGTTTGGAGTTCTGATTATTGTATCCCATTTTAAAGGTAAACTAGTTCTTTAAAGGTTATTGTGTCTACTACTAGAATTTGATTAACTGTTATATTATACTTTAGTTACAAACAAAATTTAAAAAAAATAGAAAGACATTATATATATACCATTTAAATATAGGTTAAGAACACCCTTTACCCTTAACTTCACATTATATGCTCTACATGAAAAATTTTTCCCATCAGAAAAAAGATGCTTTGGTGAAAATAATGAAATAGATTTTGAAAGATGTTTAATTTCTATAACTGAAATTCAAAAAAAAAAAAAAAAAAAAAAAAAAAAAAGGGAAAAAAATGAAAAAAATTTATAACCTTTTTGAAAATATAAATACATGTATAAAAGAACAAACATCTGTAAAACGTAGACAAACATAAATATTTGACATGTCCAATACTAGATTTTAAGTTAACTATAGATAAAATCCCGCTCAAAGCAGAGCAAATTTCGAGATATCCCTGTTTTTGCGAGATACAAAGAAAGTATTTGCGAAGCTTGCTTCTCCTAGACACCTGATCCAACCACTGGTGTTTCCAGGGCTGGTAACTGTTTATCTTCGCCTTTTACACATTAAGCCTGTGAACCGATATACATACAGTGTTATGTTGTCAACTATTTATTTTCTCATGTAAAAATATATATAATCTACATTTTGCTTGTTTCAACTTTTTATTAAATAAAAATATTTTAAACTTTTTCTAATTTTTTTTCCAATACTCAATCGACATTTTGCTCGTTGAGATACAAAAATAATAGCATATGAGTGTAACTGACGACAAAATTTATCTCAACCCTTTTACGTATGACGTGATACGCTTTTGTGAATTTTTAGAAATATAATTTTTGTGAAAGTGTTTAACATTATCTCAGATGTTATTAAAATAACTCTATTCTAGTTGAAGAGATGTAGGATGATTGGTATTAATTCTAAAAATGTAATGTCTGTAAGGATTGGTGTTCCTACCCAACAGTTTGGCCACTGGAGATATGCCCACTATCCCTTGAAATAGGAGCCACGTCCTAGTGAAGCAGCCCCCCGAGCTGTCGGTGAAATGCTGTAGAGTTTCTTAGAAACTCCATTCAGTATCGGGAATTATATAACCCCATTGAAGTTAGCTAGAAATTCCAGACACATCTGCATGTCTAGTTTCATAGCTTTAGTAATGCCACATGATGAAAAGGTTTGTAAATGCCTAGCATTTTGGGAACACCCAAATGGCAACATTTTGTCTATGTAGTAGGCTCCCCTAGAATAAAGTCCTAGTAGCTCATAGTCCCAGGGTTAAACTGGTATTAGCCTAAATGCACTTTTTGTGTTTGCTTCAGCCAAGATCCCCCCTTTCCCAACTTGCTTATGGTACAATATCCACAACCGTGTCAAAAGATGTGTTGTTAACTGTTGTGTCCCTTGAGTCGATCTATGTATGCATAAATACTAGATAGCGGTGGTTAGGACAAATGCGTGATCATTCGCCAACAACCCTCACTTTTGGGTACAGCCCCAATTGGGCATATATGATGGTTACGCGTTGGTGAGTCTAAAAACAGACCCTCATCTACCTCTTACTTTATTTTAGCCCTTAAAATATCCCCATGCTGATTTGCTAATACCACGTTATTCGAAAAAATTGTAGAACCTAGTACGGAAGCGTATTAGTGCTACAAAATATTTTTTTCAAAGTTGGCTTTTCCAACTTTAAAGTTGGTAATTCCAACTTTAATCTTGGTAATTCCAACTTTAATCTTGGCTTTTCCAACTTTAAAGTTGGTAATTCCAACTTTTAAGTTGGCTTTTCCAACTTTAAAGTTGAAAAGCCAAAAATAAAGTTGGAATTACCAACTGTAAAGCTGGAATTACCAACTTTAAAGTTGGAATTACCAACTCTTAAAGTTGGAAAAGCCAACTTTAAAGTTGGAATTACCAACTTAAAAAAAAATTCGTGGCACTAATTCGCTTCCGTACCCTAGTCCTGCATAAAGCAGCTTAAAACCCTGTTTGAAGCATTCGGCATTGTCCAAAACTATAGCTGACTGCTCGACTGGTTAGTCTTAAAGATACCTGAGTTACAATTGGTGTGATTCCCAGAGACATGAGATGTTATTAGGAAATAGAAATGGCTGATGTGCATTCTTGCGAATTCATCCTGTAACATGAAGCTTGGAAATTAAAATCAAAACATTTTCTGACTTTGGAAGGCCACTTATCCGTGATCACCCTTCCTAACCTCGGGTTCACCTTCGGCATTGTGTCCGTTGTTTTGTACGCACGTGTCACAAAATTTATTTCAAATTGTATCAATCCATTTGTCTTTACAACAAGCTGTTTCAAGATGCTAAGAATGCTTAAACACTATAATGATATTTTCATAAGAACGTCTCGCGTATCCAGTTTAACAACACGAGACAGTAAATGTAAATATGGCGAACGGCATCAATTGAGAATTATACGACTTAACATTCAATCTAATTAAAATATGCGCAATCGAATTATGTATTTAAATAATCATGGCCAAAAACGCTATGTATGGGGAAACACTGCCAGGATCAAACACTTTTTTTTTTTTAATTAAACGACGCAACTTGGAAAATTTTCAATCAAATGAACCAACCTACCAATGTGTTCGTCTGCTAGATTAGAAAGGAAGATTATGTTTCGGACCTTGGTTATATACAGGTGTCATAACAGTATTTCACTTGAGGTTCACGTCAAATCATGGCTGACGCAAAATAATTCCTGAATCTTCCCTTCCGATTCGGGCATTTTAACACGAGACTGGAGCTGAATTTTTTTATGAGATGAAAAACAATATGTAAACTTCCTGTATTGACTAGATTCATTATAATTTAGGGCGTGCTGACTTTTCTATATACTGTATTTGAGTGGGGAGTGATTAGGCCCTGGACTTGATTTTCAAGCACCTGCTCGACTTCGACCGAAACAAACTTGCGTGCCTTGCTGGATGGCTATGTATTTTTTGGTACTAAAATCTTTATAAAGAATTGTTTTACAAGATCTGAAAAGGAAACTTCTCAAAAGTTTGTTTTCAATTAATACCACCTACTCAAAGTTGCGCATTTTTGGTAAGAATATATAGCGAAATTTAATACTGTTGTGCAACCTGCAGTCACTGCGGCATATCTAATAAAGGAATCTAGATGGTATGCGCAATCCGGATTATTCCTTGAGGCACATATGCAATATAAAAAAAGGGCCATGTATAACTTCCATATTCTTAGACGTTGCTTGAATATGGGTTAATGTGTCATGTTTCTTCAGCCATGTATTTTCTTTATTTTTTTCTCTTATCATGCAATGGTTTCCCTCATGTACACATCTATAAAAAGTTATGTCATTTATACCAGTTTATACATTTGAAGTTATGATGTTAACCAAAATTGTACGAATTTTAAAGTGTAATTTCGTGCAGTTGCTCCACTTTGAACCATTAAAAGGTTTTATAATTAGTAAAATCATTTTTTGGAAATGACATCTTGAGATGACAGTTTCAAGCTATGGAAATACTATACCTTTTGAATCGTGCCCCGTTTTTTTGTGTTTTGAATGGTTGGGAGTGTAGCTATCTGGTCGTTCATCCTATTTTTTCCAGACCACTGAGTTCCAGAATTGCAGTTGTTATTAAATGCAACCAATGAAAATATTAACAATTTTCTTTTTATATTTTTGTTCATTTCATTATGCACATAACATCAATTTACATACTTCTGGTCATTCAGATTAGCATGCAAATTTTGATCCATTCGTTTTTTGCAAGATGTAAACAATTAGATAGGTAGTCAAAAAAAAAACACACGAAAAATCTGGTTTGTTAGTCCTTCGATTTTATCAGCTTAACTTTAACCTACGTTTTCTCCTTGCCAAAAGGTTTTGTTACATTTGCAATTCTTAATTATTGCTTTTAGCTGCAATTTTAGTTGCATTCTTGCCCAACCGTCAGGCTGCGTTTCTGTTTCCTTCGTTTTTCTCTAATAAGTCTTGAGTATTCCTCGTGCACTCTTGTTTTTCTGGCTGCTATCTTACAGTTATCTTGTAGCTATCTTACAGTTATCGTTGCCATCTCTGCTGAGTTTGTGTCCTTTCCAGTTCCATCTCCTCGCATCTGATTTTTACTATTCCTGATATTTCCATTCTTTATTAGTTGTCATCTTATACTTAAAATTCTAAAGTAGAGTTATTCTGTTTTATTATCATTGTTTGAAGATTACTCCTGTTATTCTTTAGTTAAGTGTTATACCTGCAGCCTGTGAGAATAATTCATCTTTGCTATTTTTGTGATAAGGGAGTGTAGGATCAGTTGAGTACCACGTTGACTGGGCAACAGCGTCTATACATTGCAAAACAAAATATGACTCGCAACTGATTCCACAAAGCTATATTGTGGACCAAAATCTTCATAGTGATGTCATAAGTGGAATTGGGGTAAACGTGTCAGCTTGGGTTGATGGGAAAATTCAGATGATTGGATGCGATCAGGGTACTGCTGAAACTTTTATTTTCTGAAATAAAGATTATTATTTTTAATGAAAAAAAATCAATGTATGATATGTAGTTGATTTGTAATTTCCCCCTTTTTCAGAGAAATGTCTATTGATGAAAAGATTGCTTGAGAAGAAAGACAGAAAAATGCCATATATTTGTGGTGATTTTTATTTGTAGTGAAAATTCATTTTTTTTAATTTAATTAATGTCTTTTTGTGTGTTTTTTGTTATTGTAAATGTATTTAATTCTTAGTAGTTGTTTTAAGTCTTTTTAATCATAATTATTATAAAAAATATCATTTTGAATACAGCATAAGAACTAAAGAGAAACTGAAAAAAAATATTTTTTCACTATTTTTAATTCAAGCCTATTTTTTCCTGTTTAGTTACTTCTAAACACACCGAAGTAAATTTGAAAGATGTATCATTCTCGACTTCTGCGGACTTGTGTAATTTCAAGAAAGTCACAATTGAAGACAGCTTGCAAAGAAATGGATTGCTTTCTAGTCTTACTGAGCTCTCTGAAATGCTTACAACATCAAAAACATTTTGGCTTCCAAATGTTGAACTGAGCAACAATACAGGTTACCTTAAACTTCAGTTTATTCTTTTCCTCGATATGACCTAATTTTGTAGTTATTTGGAAAAAACCATTAGTGACACAAACTACTGGAAAAGTAAAAAAAAAGTTTAATCAATAGAATTAAAATTGCATTTTGAAGATGACCATGAATAAAGTTTTCTTGAGATTTTTTTTACATTGTACTTTTAGATACAAACTGCACCTATGTCGCTGCTCAATCAAACAACTTCCTTGAAACAATGTCTGGCAACTGCAGCATTCGAAAAATGGGCGTGTGTATCAACTCTACATGTAAATAAACCTTTTTTTCTTCTATGTAGATAAAGTCGTATTTTAAAAGAGAAAAATATTACCCATTTAAGCATATATTATAGTTTTTGCTGAATTCCATTTCAGATTTAATAGATTACGAAATGTCAGTTATATTGGAAATAAACATGAAACAAATGCCTTTTTTAAAATCGGATGGCATCTGGACAACTGAAGGTAGATCATTTGAAAAGTATATCTTTATAATTAATGTTTGAAATTAAAAAAATAGGATGTTCAGTAAAGATAACGAACGGTGATCGATCTTAAAAAGGATCTATAAACAGTGCAAATCTGTGAACAGAGCTTAAAACACAGACCCCTGGACATTCCAGATGTGGGATCAGGTGCCTAGGAGGAGTAAGCATCCCCTGTTGACCGGCTCACCCTCTGTGAGCCCTATATTAATCAGGTAGACAGAATATTCTGTAGTCAAATTCAGTTCAAAAACAAAGCCTAACAATTGGTATGAAGCATAATTATTATGACTAAGAAAACGTGTTAGGTGTTACATTTCGTGGGAAAAAGAAAATTGCTAAGTTTGAAATTTCATGTACAGATATTTCAAAAATAAAAGAGGAAGAAGGAAAAGAATCTACAATCACAGTTCACACTCAACAGGAAAAACTCATTCGTGCAAGGAACATGAATGATTCAGCTGTGCAAATTCAAGATTTGCCAAGAGAGAGTAATAACTTGCAAAATAGTATGTTGAAAAATCTCTAATTTTCTCGTGTAAAATTGAAGTCAATTAAAAACATATTAAAACCAACCAAAGAAAAGTTTGCATGCAAATTAATAACCATTTCATTTCAAATTTCTTCAAAATTTATTTTGCAACTCACGAGGGGTCAATCTTGGTTAAAGTAGATATTGTGATTAAATGAATTTTAATATGTATACTCTTATATTTTGACATATTAAGCAAATCCTAAACATAAAAAATCGTTTATTACTTACAGCTGTTTTAGTGACGAATAGACAAATTCAAGATATCGATGCGTCTAAGTTTAGTGCCATGAAGGATACGAAGAACTTTTGTGAGTTAAACCTGAAACCTAAACTTTACATGTACAAGTCTAATTTATGTTAAGATAGACATCTTACAGAAGATTTTCTGGATATATCTGGTTCTAATATAAACAAACAAATTAAACTTTAAATATTCAAAATAACACGTGCTAATTCACATCTTTTTGGTCAAATATCATATACATGTGGTATTTATTAAAAAAATAGTTTGAATTTAAATTTTAATCCATTTTGAATTTACTACTAAAAGTAATAACCACTTCATATTAATTAACAGCCGTTTTAGTCTCCTTTACCCTAAGCAGTTTAAGTTTGGTCCTGGTTATATCGTTCATCTGCATCGTAATGGTCTTTTGGAAAAGGTTTGTTACCTGATTACGCATTCAAAGATTATGAAAATGATCCATTATTAGAGAAAGAAACATCTTTTTCGTATTCGATTTTCAACAAAAGCAAATAACGTCGTATTTTATTCTGCAGGATGTCGCGGAAGCTGGACATCCTTATGAAAGATCATTACAACATTTCAGATGATCAAACTGCCACAGAAAGCACACAAAAACGCAAAACAAAATTTAAGAAAAAGGTATATGAGACCCTCCCAGAGGTGGCGCACGGTCACTCTACCCGTGTCAAAGGTATGTCCAGAGAAGAAGAAAATCCATACTCTGAAATTGCTGGAAGATGTTCTTGCCGTAGCCATATTAAGTCAGGATCATTTGGACACGCAGAAGTAGAAGTGTAGGGCCAGGAAAAGGAAGATGTCAATACTTTTAGCAAAAAGAATATATTCATATTTAAGGTCTAATAGTTCGATTAATCCACTCTAAACTGCATGCTTTTACCTATTGTTTGCCCTTAGTTAAAGTAAGCATGGTCACTTCACGGAGCAAAAAACTAAGCAAAAATGGTCTCTGTCAAGAAGAAGAAGAAGGTGACGATTTAGGTGAAAAAAAAATGAGCTTTATCAACAAAGTCACGGAAGTACATGTGTAAAGATATAGTTTTGATATATGGAAAGGTTACTCTTTCAGGTAGTTAGTGTTCAGAAATTCAAATCACAAAAAGAAAAGTTAAAGATGGCAGTCGGAACAGTTCATAGATTCTTACAAAGGAAATCCGAAGAAAATTCCTGCCAAATGCATGTTGGGGTCTAATTTGCTTACTGATGCCTAAAGGAAAACACACATTAAATTGCTAAGGAACTGTAAAAAATTAAACTTTGTGACAAAACAAAGTACGATTAAATTTTAATTTGTGACAAAACATAGGACCACTTTTATGAGCCCCGCAGAAAGATCGATAGTGAAATGTGACATCAAAGAGAAAACCGTTATCCTATTATCAGGAAGAAAACCAAGAGTTCCAAAAAAGTATCTACATCCAGTGGGAGGAACATTTATTAAAGTATTTATGGTAAAAATGTATAGATGAAAATTGTGTTATTGTTACTTTTAACTCATTTTGTAACAATCATTCATTTCATGGAGAAGTATATGTGTACTAATGTCATTGTTTATAAAAACTTATGTGTATATTATCTCCAGTTTTATTTTCAAATAAATTTGAATTTGAAGAGTAATGTCCTTATATACCACAAACGAGTTTAAAGGTCATTTTGTGGCAAAGAAATATTGGTTCATTCATAAATTTTGTACAATGTCAGGTAAAGTGTGAATCTATTCTACAACTGATTACAAGAAATAAACTTATGCCCTGTTCACACGGAGAGTTTAATTCGCAGTAAATTATTTCGAAGTAAACTAATGCTAATTAAACTACAGGTACATTTGACATAATGTCATAATGTCTGTACACATTTTAGTGATTAGCATAATTTTCCTTTGTTTTCCACTCAAAAATAGCACAAGCACCTACATATGTATATTTGACCATCGACATGTGACCTGTGACTAAATTCTGCCCTTACGCATGCGTCAAAATTTAATTCGAATTAGCTTCGCTTAGCGTTCACACGGAAATAATGCGAAGTAACTTAATGTGCAGTAAACTAATTCGAATTAAACTAATTCGCATTAAATTTAATTCTCGATGTGAACGCGGATCAAATTTAATTCGCAGTAACTTACGTTTAATTCGAATTAAACTCTCCGTGTGAACAGGGCATTAATCTCTTGATGGTAATTTTCGTAAACAAACGTGCATTTCGTTGAAAAAAAAATGTTCAGAAACTAAATTATTTCTTTTTATAAATCTATGAGAAAAGCAAGTTATGCTTGTGAAATATGTAGATAACAAACAGTAATCAAGCTCAAAAGTCCATTGAAACAATATAAATTTTGCGCAGAGCAAACACGGACCACTAAAACTGTGAGAAGTGGAATCAGGTGACATGGAGGAGAAACAATCTCCTGTAGACCGGTCATACCCGCCGTGTGCTCCTTGTAATGGTCGGGTAAAAGGAAAAATCCGTACACAATTCGGACTGAAAATAATAGTCTAACATTTGTATGAAAAACGTCAGCATTGGACTTGATGATAGATTGTAGTTGTCAGTGTTTTTTTCAATACTTTGGGACTGGGGCTGGGGCCCTCAGAATTGGGAATTTCAGCGTCAATTAGGCTAAATTGGGAATCTCCCAGAAAACCCAGTCACTTAAAAAACATTGTCAAAAAGCTTTGTTTTTGTCTTTGTATTACTTTAACAAATAATTGTTATAACAAATCAAGACTATTCTTGGTATGAATTATCTAATTACTTGCATCAAGAACAATAGTGGTATGAATTATCTAATTACTTGCATCAAGAACAATAGTGGTATGAATTATCTAATTATGAAGAATTCCAACATGGCTGAACAACAAAACCTGCTTAAACTTCACTGAAAAAACATGCAATAAACAAACTGAATTTGATCACATATTTTGTAAGTTTTTCTTTGGGAAAACTTCCACTACATTTTGGGAAAATTCAGGCATATTTTCAATTGGGACTGGTGCCGAATTTCGGACCCAAATCGGCCCTAAAAAAATCACTGGTTGCTGACGTCATTGTATCTACCATAAAATTTGAGAAATGTTGACTTAAAACGAGACTGCTGATATTCTTGTTTCATCAACTTACGATCCAAAAGTTCGTGGAATTTCATTCTAAAATTTTATTGTGACGTGATAAAAGCAAACAAAGGACATATCTATAAAATAGAACCATCATGCAACAATACTGGGAAATACTGGGTAATTTCACCACATTTCCATAACCAAGAAGGTCAAATGAGCTTTCTAAATATTAACAGCTGTTAAATAATGGGGGAGACTTTGACGTAACATCAAGTTAGGTATGTAACGTCACGTTCCAGGAGCATCTCACGTTCAAATCGTTTTAAAATTTTTGCAGAACACTGCATTCTTTTCACTAATTTTGCCTATGAGGAAAGCCTGGGTACCAATCTCGCACTGACTTTCTTCATATTACGATCATTGTTCAGAATACGCTCTGTCGTTCCATATGATGTTCCAATTCAGCAGCAATGTCAAGCACAGTGCATCAGCGGTACACGCCTCTAAGGCTCTCAATTTGTCTACGAGGAAAAAAATGACCTTCCAATAAAGCAGCTAGACAGTTTGTCCTCATCGGAAGTTCCATGTTCCTTAAATTTCCCACGCCAATTGAAAACCAGTAGCTCATTGTACTTTTGTTCTCTCTGTTCGCTAGTATATGCGTCTGAGTCAGAGTGTTCCCGAAATTTTCACAAAACTTATTATCGAATTTTGACATTGTCTAATGATGTCAGGATGATCAACAAATCATCAAAACTAAAAAACTAAATATCCAGTAAAATCGATAAAACTTTCACACAAAAAGTTTATAAGAGTTCAAGCAATCGTAATTACATGACATCATTTTCGTTTCATATGACACTTATCTCTTTTTCCTCAGTGAGTATCAAGAATTGAAATGATAATGAACAAAAAAAGTCTCTCCAACTGCCAAAGTGTTACTATCATGAATTTTTGAAATATTTCTTTATCAAGAAAATTAAACAAGCGTATATATTTTCATCTGTAATTTTCAATAGCTTCCATTAAAAAATAAATAAAATATAAAGAAATTCCACGAACTTTTGGATCAACCCTCGTATTTATAATTGCTTACCTCGTTTTAGAAACTGTTCGTATGTACAGCATGCTCTTGCGTATGGAATTAACTAGGAGAAATAAACTCCATATGCAGGTGATAAGAGCATATTGCTACATGGAAAAGAGAAGTAAACGATAGAAAAAGGATGAAGTGATCACTTTTACAATTAAGTTTTGTTGTTAGGTAACTGTAATATCTTTTTTTTTTGTTGTAAAATATCTAAATATGAAACAGATGTGTCAAACTTTCTTCTCTCAAGGATTATATCCAATCAACGTACATGTAGGAATGGAAATACATATTGTTAATTGAGGATATATATATATATATATATATATATATATATATATATATATATATATATATATATATATATATATATATATATATATATATATATATATATATATACGAGGGTTTTTAGAAAAGTTCGCGGACACATTGATTTACGGAAAATCTATTGTGTACTATGAGGTATGACCCATGTCTGATTAAATTACTATCTTTTGTTTATTAGTATGTAAAAAAAATCAGGTCCATTTACTAAAATTTCGAAAATTTACAACGATTTTACAATGCGGTCATAGGATTCATGGAGCAATCACTTGACGTTAAGTGACGTGACAACCAGATTTCAAACCCGTTAAGCTTTTAAAAGTTCTAAATATCTTTCATTTCTTTCGACTTTTCTTGTCTTTTTCTTCTTAAAAAATAAAAATTCTATATCAAGACATGTTTCTTTTCTTCTATAATGTCTTTTGTGCTGTTTCGGTTATTAGAGAGATCTTAAAATAAATGTATACGCAGTTAAGCGATCAGGTATGGAAACAATGCAAAATCCATAGGCACAACGTCAATGCGATAAGTGGGGTATTGAGGTATCGATGGAGTTGATCATTAAAAATGTTAATTCTTCCATTTTTAAAAAACTAGCTACCATTTGAATACTTTTGTCCTTTGTACGTGTAGAGAATTTCCAGCAGCATCTAGAAGCATTTTAGTCTATTTTTAGACATTTTCCTGTCTGCACACATACTTTTTTAGTAGCTCGGTGCTCCATGACGTTCAATGACGTTCCCATTCTTGGCTTTGTTTTAACGCGTTGATTATTTATAAATGGCTATAAAACAGTCATACATCCTCCAATTTAATTCAAAATTTCGGCAAGTGACGTTTCATGAACACTGTAGCGTCAGGTAAAATATCATAATTCTTTCTGCGCTACAACTGTGCAATTTTTAATTTCAATAAAAAGTCTATGCAATGTAAACGTACGAAAAAGTAGCATGCTCCGTGAAGCATGTTTTATCAAAATAATATAGCTGTATATTTTTTAAGGATTACCGGAAAACATCAAACCTTTGTATATTTACTGGAAAATAGGTAAAGTTTTTATCTGGAGAGTTTAACCGGTCTCGTGGAAATAGTGCGCTCACAATGGAACATGTCCGCGAACTTTTCTAACAGCCCTCGTGTATATATATATATATATATATATATATATATATATATATATATATATATATATATATATATATATATATATATATATATATATATATATATAGGGATGGCAATTTGTAACCGGTTAACCGATTACTCGGTCGGAACGATGGCAATCGGTTAGAAAATCTGTAATCGGTTAGTCGGAAAAAGTAAAATACATGTAAATTTAAACGCAATTTTCTTATAATTCATTTTCGGGAAAAAAAGAAATCTCTGCATTAACGTTGATAATTCAGCGTTCTCAAATATCCAAGCTGACTTGGATGTAAGTATGTTTCAACGGATTGAGATTGTGGGGTATTTGGTCATTTTGTGTATGAAGTGTTAATTACTGTTAAAACACCATGTCGTTACCCCGACTGTCATGTAATTCTTTAATGATATTAAATCACCGTTGAACACTGCGAATTAGTATGTTTGTCTTTTGCAGTTGTCCATCGAATAAATTACTAAACAATCATTGTAAATTCAGTGATGTAGTTCAGACTTAATTTTAATTATGGTGACAATGCAGAATGGACTTATGTGACATCTGCTCTCTCTCTCTCTCTCTCTCTCTCTCTCTCTCTCTCTCTATATATATATATATATATATATATATATGAATGTAGTTTTCTTATAAAGAAAGAAGACAAATAGAATGATTGAGAACGAGGAGATGACAGATAGAAGGTAGAAGGTCCCTGAGAATAACTCTGTTCTTTCCTACCCAAATATATGTACATGTATTTACATAACTGGTATGACATTGATATTAATTCTCTCAATAAATTTGAGTTAACGTGAAATATATGAAAAAATTGAGATAAGCTTTCATGAAAAAAAAACGCACCCTTTTATATCAAAAAAGAGTGCCGCATAACCTTTATTCAAAATGTATTCACAATGATTCCTCAGAAAAAATGCATTTACATGGTAATTAGAACATGCTATTTGACATGTCTTGCGTTTTTAAGATATCAAATTACAGAGTTAGAAGTAATCTGACTGCATAACTTTTTTGAGAAAAAGTTATTAGTGAACGAGGTAAAAATTTCAGTCGAGTGAGTAATTTGGCTAAGGTTTATTTTCTTACTATCAAATGAATGAGTCTACAATTGTTTCATATATGTTCACAATAGATAGATAGATGAATATTGTAGAAAAATAAATGAGAGAGAGAGAGAGAGAGAGAGAGAGAGAGAGAGAGAATTTTCATGGTATGGAAAAATCATAATTGCTCCCTTTTCCCTAAGAAAATGCGATGCTTTAAGTCACTTAACGACACGTACATCTACCGAACTTATTAGAGACTGGATAAATTTTAAAAAAGAAAAGAAAAAAGAAATGAAACTGTGCTATTAAACAATCATTCCTCCATTATTTTTAAGAACAATTTCCCTTTTCTAACAGTTACGAGAACCTTTGGAAACAAGACGACTCCTAAAAATCTTTAAAACGTCTATATATCAGATCCTGGCGTCATCACCGAAAGTTATCCAACCAGGTTCAAATAATTATTTATCATACCTAAATTTTGCAAGAATATTGACCAAGCCGTGTACATTTTTTTTTCAAAGTGCGTTAATATGGTCGATATTAACACACTTTGAAAAGAAATATTTAGTTTTTTCAAAGTGCGTTAACGTGGTCCCAAATTTAACGCACTTTGAAATTCTTTTTCAAAGTGCGTAATTTTTCAAAGTGCGTTGTAACAATGGTTGTATAAAGTGTTGAAAAGAAAATATATATAATATATTTTGTTCCATAAAATCAGCATCAGCATACGAAATAGAAGCGTAAGTTTTACAATAACACTTAATGTTAGTATAATAACATTTCAAAATACAATACTTTCTTAAGCATAACAAGCTTCAATGCTACTTCATCAGATTTGGATGAATTAAACCAGCATATTAAGATCAGAAGGACCAGCGTGACTAGCATTCACTCTGAAATCTTAGCAATCATTATCACAGGATCAGTATGATCCGCGTGACAAGCATTCATCCAGCGAGCTTGAGCGTCAGCATAGGATCAATTTAACCAGCACAATTAGCAAGCATTCACTCAGCAAGCATTGTAATAAGATTTATGTGAACCGTGTGACAAGAATTCACCCAGTAATCTTAAACAAGCATTTTCATAAGATCAACTGACCGTTACTCCGTAATTTTTTGCAAATATTTTCATAGGATCAGCAGGACACATTGAACTAGCATTCACTCCGCTACCTTGAGCAAGTTCGGGCATAGAATCGATATTATCTGCGTGACTATAGCATTCTTTCTGCAAGCCAAGCAAACAAGAAGCTAAGTATTCGAAAAAATCTACATAATTGCTGAAACAGAAAAAAAATTTCACACTGTTTTATAGTTGATGCTATTTAGAGTTTTTCCTTACGTGTTTTTGCATCATGTTGAAAGAATATGCCCGAATAACATAAAAAAATTGATTTATTAGCCATATTACAATAATTCAACAATATTACAATTACAAATTACAATGTAACGTAATTTGATATATATTATGTTATCAGGATGGTGACTGTATTCTTATTGTAAAATCTTTAAAATATACAATACTCTCATCAATATTTAAAGTATTTATTTGTAAAATAGGCGCATATAGCCAAGTGGAAAAAATGACCACTTTAACTACTTAATTTAAACTAATGGTTTAACGACTCTTTTGAGTGAGGTCATGATCAGGCAATAGAGAGAAGTTGTTATTCATAACTAAATGAAGGAAATAAATAAATAAATAATAAATTGGTAAGTTCAAACTTCATTAGTTTTAGATTTTATGGAAGGAAGAGGATGCAGCTGTTTCTGTGTAATCACAGTTTGCTGGGCATCTTAACTTTATCCAGTCTTTTGACAGGTATATTTCCACCACTTCTTTTAATTAACAGTGAAAGAAGGCACCCTTAATGATATGAAAAACCTTTAAATATATACTGTAGGATGATTGGATGATTTTACATTCATTAAGGATACTTTTTTAAACATTTATCCTTAGTGGATGATTTTACATTCATTAATGATATATTTTTTTTTAAAAAGCATTTATCCTTAGTGGATGAGTTTGTACTTACCTAAATACTTTCATTTAATTTCATTAAACGTATGATAAATCTACATTTTATACTATTAATACTTTTTTAATCTCATTTTAATCATTGGTCGATGAGTTTGTACAAACTAAAGTCATATTTCTTTATTTTACATTCATTAATGACATACATGTATTTACTAGTATATCATTAATGATAATTAATTAATTATTTTATCACTATTTTATTATCAGTAGCTGACATTGCTATCTATAAATATAATCTGTATCATAAGACTCGAATCAATTGTTGTTATCATTGTGGATGATTTATAAAACAAAAATAACGTTAATTATTGGATGCAAATTCAACAATAAACGCTGCATTAGTACATCATGAGTTATTTTCACATTTCAGTCGCTTGATACCTGGTTTGATTTAAAATTCTATCTTAAAATTGCCACACGATTTTTCTCTTCCAGTGTTCTTTTAAAAGTTTTAAAATGTTATGATACTAAAATAAGTCATAACGACAGCTATAAACAAACCAGATTTAAAAAGATTTTAAATTAAATAAATCTCCTGGAAGTGATGGGCTTAATTTTGAATTCTATTAGTACTTCTGGCATAAAATAGCAGACTTAGAGTTTAAAAGGTTAAATAAAAGAACTCATAAATTATCTCTTTTTTTCTGATCACAAAAAGGAATTATTACTTAAAGGTGCTTAAACAAAGATTTGAAGTCTATATTTATATTACTTCAAATATGTGTCTAAGCATCTTTAAGCACCCGAAAAGACAAAGACCAATTATTATCATAGAACTGGGACCATTTTTCTGACTAAATTTTATTATAAAATACTAGCAAAAACTTTAGCCACACACAGTTGACTCTGATCCAACAGACTAAATATATGATAAACCTGAAACCATGTTTATCTTATTGATCGAACAAACATAAAGAATATTACCAGGTTATTTGCTAGTAGACTTTTAAAATGCTTTTCATACAGTAGAATGGTTTATTAAGAAAGTATTAGAACCTTTCAGATTTGAAAAAAGAGCTATGGGAATGGATAAGTATCCTTTATTTGGGTATTACGAATTGTTTAATCAATAAAGGATATTCCTTCTCATTTTTCAAGCTTTCTCGAGGCGTTTGACAAGGGTGTCCTTTAACACCACATCTATTTATTTTATGTGTTGAATTAATGACTATTGCAATGCAATCAGATCAAATAAAAGTACATGTATTTGTGATATTAGAATTGGTGAATCAGAATTTAAAATCAGTCAGCTAGTAGACAACTTGTTTCTTAAGTGATAAAAATCAAGCTTTGAGGTATAGAGGATCATCCAAAATTTTTAATATTGCTCTGGTTAAAAGATCAATCTAAATAAAACAGAAGCCCTATGGATAAGCAGGTATCGGAATTTGTCTCTGGGCACTTCACCAGTAAAAGGATCTTGCAAAAACTTTAAATCTAAGTTGGATGATATGTAAGCATTTTCGGAGAAAGTATCACAAATATTGAATACTTTTTATATATTGCAATGCTGCATGTATATTTTTCATAATTCGTAAAATGTAAGAGCCAATTAAAACAATTATGTCACGCTTGAAATCACCTGAAAAACATTTTTAATGTGTTTTTTAAATATCTAAGTGATTATATTGTCTTATTAAAATTTACCCATGTAAACCTAAAATTATATACCAGAGAAGTTTTTTTTCTTCGTTAGCCTTACGGGAGGCTTATCCTACTACTCAAGAAGAGATACATGTAATTAATTTCCACTTTCGGATAAATCAATCTTCACTGTTTCAAGGGATATTTCAACAACTCATAGCGTTTAGAATATCAATTTCTTATATATCTGAGAACTGGTGAAGAAAAAAAGGATCTTTTAGAAAAAAAGGAAATATAATTTTTCCATGAAAATGTAAGAAATTAAAAACGATTTTATCCAAATGTAGACTGAGTTAAACTTTAAGGAAAAATAACACATATGAGATTTTTAAATCTTCGTCTTTGTGGACTGAGGAAAAATGTTTTGTACATGAAAAATACGGAGATAACGAACAGTATTCAAAAGTCCATTCAAAAAATATAAATCAGAAACAGAGCAAACACGGACCTTTAAAACATTAGAGGTGAGATCAGGTGCCATGGAGGAGTGAGCATCCCCTGCCGACCTGTCTTACCCGCCGTGTGCTCCTTGTCATGATCGGGAAATAACAGGAAAAAACCGTCGACAATTCAGTATGTAAATAATGGTCTAACAATTAGTATGAAAAACGTCAGTCAGTTGACAAAATATTAGATTGTATTTGCTGACAAGGTCATTGTATTGACCATAGAATTTACGAAATTATAACTTTAAACGAAACTGTTGATATTTTTGTCTCACCAACTTGTTTATCAATAACTTACCTCGTTTTAAAAATTGTTCATACGTAGAGCTTGCTCTTGCGTATCGAATCAACTGAGGGATATAAACTCAGAATGCAGCAGAAGGTGGGGCCCAAAAAATATCCCACACCTTATACGAAGGAAAACTAGTACATGTATTTTCTACAACAATAACAATATGCATGGAAGATTGAAGGGGTGGAGGTGGGTAAATTTTGTAAACCACCTTTTCGGAGCCAAAAATTATTTTGATAAGGATGAGGCTAATAGCCGTAACTAGATGGCGCTTAAATATAAAACCCGGAAAAACCCCTCAAGACCCATGAATTGACACAAAATAGTGATAAATAAAAATAACACAATCTTGTATGTATTTAGATAACATAAATTCATTTATATACATAAATACACATGTTCATCATAAAGCTTGGTTGTTAGATTACCATTAACGTATTTTTCTAATAAAATATCCAAATATGAAACAGATGTGTCAGACTCTGTTGTATCTTTTATTTCAAGCTCACTGGGATATATGGTATTGACATATGAATGGAAATAACTATTGTTAATTGATAATACGTCGTCGATATATCTAAATGTCGAGTTGAAGGCCAGAGCATGATTCATTCTGCTTCATATGAATACAAAAATAGGTCTACTAATAACGGGGTGCAATTGGTACCTATTGAAATTCCAACAAATTGTTGAAAGATCCTGTCTCCAAAAACCATACAGACATTGTCAATCGGAAACTCTAGCATCTTTTTAATATCAACTTCAGAGTACATGTGGTTACAATCAGAATATTTTTCAACAAAATAATTTTTGCAAATGACCAATGACAAGGTAAATGAATTTACAAGTTTAATTTTTATTGAAAAAAGCAGCTGTCTATGAGGTCAAAAATCCTGGACTTTAACTTATCGTGGTGAATAGTTGGTTAAAGTGTTGAAAAGTCGTACGTTTTGATGATATTGATTTTGGTAAAATTTTGTGATTTCAAATTTTTTAAAAGTTCCATAAGAGTTTTTAAGTATCCACATCTGAATTACACCACTTTTCGAATATATTGTTGCACAGTACTCCTGAAGTTTCTCCGTCACTGCTGTGAATATTTTAGTAAAGTAAAGAAAGAAGTTTAGTAGAACATTTACTGGCCCCGCTATGTATCTTTGTTTGCAAGGATTATTATGAAGTTTCGGAATCCAATATAGATATGGTAATTCGAATTCATTTTCGTTGTTTGGAATATTAAAAATATTTAAAACTAACCTATGATTTTGAAGAATTTCTTCCATAGAAAGAGAGCTGGGGGCATAAATTGGATTACCACTCGTAGAATTAAACTTAAATATAATTAAAACAAGCTTTCTGAGAGTATTGCATTAACAATACTAGTTACTTACCGGTAAGAGTAATCTGGTTCCTGTTAAAAATTGAAATGCCATAATTCCGTCAAATCACTGAAGAGTTTAGGAAAAAAATTACGGAAAACCCTTAAAAATTGAAAAGGTCGTAATTCCGTTAAAAATCAATGAAGCAGAACGAAATGCAAACTTGATCTGTAACTCATCAAGATACACTCACATAGTAAACATCAGTTCAATATCTGCAAGCATTTAGGGGAAAAGTGCGGAAAATCAAATGGGACAGACTGACAGACAGACAGAGGGATATACAGACGGACGAACGGTCGGATAGACAAACATATAGGGACGGACAGACGCAGAGGAAACCTGTAATCTCCTCCGGTTTCACCGGTAGGGGACTAATAATGAGCCTTACAAACAAAGACAAAGTTGTTACCTGCTTTGTCAGCTGAGACCAGTACATACTGATCGTATAATTTATCCAATACTTTTTATTCTCTCCTGAATTATTGAACACAGGAGGATAGTTGGTTTTCATCTTGCCCCTCAATCTCTTAGTGCGAGATTTTAACATACATCTAATACATGTACATTAAATCCATTCTGACAAAGTGTCAAGTTCTTCTTTTCATATCTAGCACATCGCCTGGCGTAATCTTCTACAGAATTAATATTTATGAAATTATGACGCCAGTTGAAAGATCGGGATTCCCTAAATTTTGACCCTTTTAAAACAAATGATTTTAGGTCCTCATATTAACTATATATACGTCACCAGTAATAACGTGTCGAGCAGGACTATAGTGGTAGGGTAAAGAAGAACATGAACACGATGGAAAATTACGTTTCAGATGCTCGATATCCAGGCTCGGTGAAGTTTTCTTGTAATTAGATATTTGGAAGCAATGGTCGATGTATATTTGTAGAAAATACAGGGTGTAGGCTTCAGTTTGAAATATGGGGAAATACATGTACACGACTGGACTGTGGCAACATACTTTGAAAAAAAATACGCATTTTGAAAAAAATTATCGAAGTCCATTAAAATTGGGACAAAATCAACTCACTGAGAGAATTTTTTTCAAATGCGTACATCAACATTTTTTTTTTTTACCATGGAGACACTTCACGCACTTCGAAAAAATATATATAAAACAATAATTCTGGACTAATATTTTAGTAATAGACAGCATTTATTTGTTATATTTCTTTCGAAAAACTGGTAAATTGATCTACCCTCATCGAGAACGAGGATGAGACAGGTAGAAAGTACCCCAACCCAACTCTTTATCTTTCCTACCCAAATACATGTATATGTATTTACATAACTGGTATGCCATTGTTATACTTTCTTTCAATAAATTTGAGTTAACGTAAAAAGATGAAAAAACTGAGATAAGCTTTCCTGAGAAAGAAACGGCACCCTATTATATTGACAAATAAGTTGATAAAACAAGAATATCAGCAGTCTCGTTTAAAGTCATCATTTCGTAAGTTCTATGGTCGATACAATGACCTTGTCAGCAAATACAATCTTTCATTAAGACAAATGCTGACTGACTTTTTTCATACTAATTGTTAGACCATTATTTACACACTGATTTGTCGACGGAATTTCCGTTATTTCCCGATCATGACAAGGAGCACACGGCAGGTGTGACCGGTCAGCAGGGGATGCTTACTCTATGAACCTGATCCCACCTCTGATGTCTTAGAGTTCCGTGTTTGCTCTGCTCCTACTATTGTAATGTTTAATTGACTTTTGAGCTCGAATACTGTTCGTTATCTCCACATATTTCATTAAAGAAAAGAGGCTCAGGGGCCATATCGCTGATCTTAGCAACAATCGTCAACTGACTATACTTTGGCCGAAGTCGCTTTACAAAATCAAATACAGTACAATACAAAGAATAAAATGCATGAATAATTTTTTTCATACATCTTAATACTAATCAAATAACTTTTTAAAAGGCCATCATATGATGTGGGAATAAACATATTTTCATACTTCTAAATACTTATCAAATAAGTATAAAAAGACCATCATATTGTGCGGAAAAATTATTTTTCATTAGCATACAAACTTGGTTCATCATTTTGTCGCATTTCTCGTACCCCTAAGGGTCATATTTGAACAAAAATAGAAAATTCTAAATACATAAAAAATAAATATAACGAAGTCCTTAATGCTGAATTTTAGTTCTTTTAGAGAGAGAGAGAGAGAGAGAGATTTCATGGTATGGAAAAATCAAAATTGCTCCCATTTTCCCGAAGAAAAATGCCGTTCTTAAGATCACTTATCGACCCCAACATCTACCAAAATTATTTCAGACTGGATGAAATTAAAAAAAAAAAAAAGAAGAAACGATAGTGTGCTATAAAGCAATCATTCCTCCATTATTTCTATAAAAAAGCATTTCATTTTTATAACATTTACGAGAACCTTTGGGAACAAGAAAAGCCCTACAAATCTTTAAAACGTCTTTATCTCCGATCCTGAAGTGATTTCATCACCGAAAAGTTATCTAACCAGGTTCAAATAATTATTTATCATACCTAAAATTTGCAAGAATATTGACAAAGCTGTTCACATTTTTTTTCAAAGTGCATTCATATGGTCGATATTAACGCACTTCGAAAAGAAATATTTAATTTTTTTGCGTTAACTTGGTCCCAAATTTAACGCACTTTGAAAAAAAAAATTCAAAGTACGTAATTTTTCAAAGTGCTTGTAACACTGGACCCTTTTTACCTATATTAACCTTTGTTGGCATATTGAAGTTTAAGAGAAACGGGTTGCTTTAGCTGGTTTTTCTTCCGTAAAACGAGGCGGTTTAAAAAGCCTTTGATTTGCAATAGCAATAACCACAGATCCGAGCCTGTATTCTGGTGTCAAGAAATCCAAATATGGACTTTCCTTGACCTTTTCAAGTAGACTATTTAAAAAGGAAAGAATAAAGTTTGGTGCGAATGTGATGGAGACCTAACTATTGATTTACGTAAGATAGTAATGAATCAAAGGAGACATCGTGTATAAAAGATTTCTTAAAATGTTCTTACAAATTTGATTTGAAAGAAGTTTTAGCATTCGTGAATCTTAACGTATATAGATCACGAACAACATAGCATTTCTTTTGCTAAAGAAAGTCTATGAAACAACAAAAATCATGTTCCAATAACAAGATAATAATAATAATTCATGTAATAATAATAATAAGGAACAAAAACGTATATTCTCTTCACTTGAACTTTGTAGTACTTCATTCCACATTAAAACTACTAATTCTTATTTTATAAAACTTTAATTAAGTATTATGTTTATTTGATCAAATATGATCAAAATTTGATTACACACTTCAAGCAAATCAAAAACTCCAGCTAGACTAATTTCATTCATCACCAGCTTGAGATTAAGATGTAAATGAGGAAGAATTTGTTAAATACTTTTTGGAAGGGTTTTGGGTAAAGATAAATTAAAAAAAGAACAATAAATTTTTCTTGCCCCAATTGGCTTTCTTGACGAAATAAAGAAATCGAGACCTTATTGCAAATTATTGCAAATCTACAGACTACCACCAATAATATTCCAAAGGATGATTGGACCACTGAAAATTATAAGAAGAGATCTGGAAACCATTATTTTCAAAAATCGACCCCAATCGGCCTCCTGCATGAAAATCAAAATTCCAAAACTTTAACAGAACACCTTGCGTCATATCCCAAAATATCATTTGGCTTGGCTACTGCAAAAAATCACTGTATGAAGAGTTCTTGGAATAAGTCTTTTGTAGAATAAAGAGTTTAAGAGTGAGTGAATTAATGAATGAATAGTGCATGTCTACAAAGACACCATGAAATTTATTCAAAAAAAAAATATGAACTGGTTACTGATTGAAATGTAAGATGAGTTTGAGGAAGAAGATAATGTGACCGACGAAAGGATGAAGATAACAAGAATACATCAGACTTTCTCTAGAAAATGCAGGTATAATAATGTTGTAAGAACAAAAAATACAAGTTATAGGTTTCCAGAAGCACATGCTTCCTCATTTTCTTATAGATCTTATGAAATTAGAAAGCTGAAACTGGTAATTAGAACCTTTTTTGTATCTTTTAAAATTGTTTGTAAGGCTTAATAATTGTTTTTTTTTTCTCTTGCAATTTCAATAGGCACATTGTGCTCTTCTGAACACTATATTGATTGGAGTGAGGCTTCCAAACAATGCAACACTAAATACGAATCGGAGTTAATAACTGAACGGTACGTGGCAGACCAAAATCTCACCGCAGAAATCATCCAGGAACTGGGAGTCAACGTGTCTGCTTGGATCGACGGCAGAATACTGGAGATTGGGTGCAAAAATGGTAACATTCATTTGAAAATTCTTTAATAATGCAATACAGAAATTACAGAATCAATACCACAATAATTTTATTATACAAGAATCCATTTTCTTCCTCCTTCCAGATGTATGTTACAGAATAGAAAAAGTTCACACAAATGTGGACATAAAGAATCCATCCATATGTGGTAATATTCAGTGTTGATTTTATCCTTCATTACCGGTGTATATATAATTTAATAATCTCAAAACATATAAGTAAAATTAGATCGTCACTGTAATATTATGCTAGAATGTATGAAAATAAAACCTTATTAAAAAAATCTTAAGGTTTATAACTATCCTCTAATGTACTCTTCACGAATCTGGTAAATTCATAGTTAACATGAAACAATAATCAAGATGTCTTCATTTCTCCCTAGTTACTCCGGATGGTATCAAAATAAAACAGACAAACATGACGTTCAAAGAGGCCGAACAATGGTGTCAAAGCGCAAAATTTGAAATAAAAGGCGATTTATACAAAAATATTTTGCAAGACCAGCTTGAAAAGATTTTGCATAAACTTTTGACACCAATTTCCTTCTGGGTTCCAAACATCGAACTGAGCAGCAATCGAGGTAGAAACAGTGTTTACAGATTTTAAAAAAATCAATGTTTTTTAAAGTTAAAGACCCCCCTCCCCCCTTCCACACACACACACTCCTTGATTGATTACCATACAATATTTGAAATTTCCTTTTTTCACTCACTTAGACAAAAATACACAGATATATGTATTTATATTTTCAGATGTAAATTGCACCTATGTGGTTTCCAGAGACAATAATACGCTGGAAACACTGTATGATGACTGTTCCATTCCAATGATGGGAGTTTGTATCAACAATTCATGTTAGTACGAAATTCAAAGGTTTCTAGAAACTACAATCAGCAAAACATATTCTGTAAAAAAAAAAAAAAAAAAAAAGGAACATATCTATTATAATTATTTCACTTTCTGATGTTCTCGCTTTATAAGTAATGGGATTCTGAAATGAACAAACAATGCAAATATAAAAGGTGATATTTCGCTATATAAAGGTGAAATTACTTCCAATAAATTCGTTTTTTTTTTTTTGCAGACATACCTGATTATCAAATATCAGTACTTTTAGAAATGACTCCGATTAACATCCCAGTGTATGAAATAGATATCGGTAATTTAATTAAAATTATCATGCATAGTATTTCCTTCAATGTTGTGTATATTATAGTTTAAAGAATATAGCAAAAAATTTTAACAGTAATATCTATTTTTGAAAAAAAAAATAGGAAAGTTTAATCATTGCTTCAAAGATTATTAAATCTCCTTCGATTTGCCTATGGTCATAAAGGGAAAGAATTTATAAGTCACATTAATCCTTTGAAAATTCTTAATAACAATGAATATTTTTTGTTTTGTTAAGGAAAAATAGAAATTGACGAGGAAAAAGACTATTCCAGGGCAGAGGCGCTACAGGTCATAGGCACTAAGGAGGATGTTCACATAGAGGATCTATCTAAAAATAAATACTCATTGGATTTGAAAACAATTCGTAAGTGGTACTAAGTTTACAACACTCTTCGTAATTAGTACATAAGTAAGGAAAGAAATGTTTTTTCCGATTGTATTTAATTTTCTATAACACTCCGTAATTGCATATATTGATTATTTCCTATTTTGAGTAATGAGTTTTAATATTTTTTTCCTGTTTGTTTAAGATTTTGCATGGTTGTGATTGTCATGTGATAATTGCATTTATCACAAGCAATTGCAATATCACATATCTATATCATATATATTGAGATGTCTCAAGATTGTTGATGATTTAAAAGTAGTTTCTAAAAGTTAAGTAATTTTCACGATATCTTAAAGCTGTATTTAAGTATATGAGTTTGAGCTCTTGCAGGATGATTGTCAGTGTGTCAGTATTTCCTTATTTATTCTTAGTCTAATCATTTAAAGTATAAATTGAATTGGTCAAGATATCTTGGTAAACTACATTCTAATTCTACCAATGATGATTTAAGTTTCAATTGAAACAAAAATGTCAACAAATTGTAAAATGAACATTATATTTCCTCATTAATTTCTTTGCATAGTTCCTTTCGCCATTGGTGGACTCAACTTGATTCTGTTTTTGACTTTGGTTTGCGTCATCTTTGTCCTGTGGAAAAGGTTAGTAAAGCATAAAAAGCCATGTGAATCATTTGTTGTCTTGTATCAGTATTCTAGCTTCTTACTTTTCTAAAAGATAGCACATTACAATATATCATTTCTCAGGGTAACAGCAAAATGGAAACTTCTGGCTAAAAGAGATAACCTTTACGATCTCTATGACTCGGATAAGTCTAGGAAAAGAGACAGGGATTATCAAGGGTTGCCAGTAATGTCTTCTGGCAATTCTACCCGCGTGAAAATGCTACCGGAAGTGGAGGAGAATCCTTATTCCGAGATCAACGGAAAGGAAAGTTCCGGTTTCTACAGAGAAACAGCGGCATCGGTAGTACAAGGGCAAGTTGAAGGGTATGTCGATATGAGAGGATTGAAAAGAGACACAAACTGTAGTTCGTTTAAAATTGGAAAGACTTCTAGAAGACAACTTAATTCTGGGTACGCCGAGTCCGGGCAGATTGTGTAAAAAGGAAGCCGATTGGCCAAAGTAACCAGTCGATTTTATAACTCGCTACCCTTCTTGTGTATGTTTGTTGCAATAGAGCTCACGAAAAAGTTCCCATTATAAACAAATAAGAATGCACAATCTTCTTCATAAATATAATTCAAGATAACAAATATACAGATTGAAGGAAAAACAGTAAGTCTATGAAAACTTTGTACGAGCCTATGATTTTTGGCAATGAAATGGGATCGGAAAAAATTGAAGTCTAGACTATTCATCGTTTTCACAATAATCAATCCTCATTAATTATAACTGAAGTAAAATGTTTGCAATTTTTAATACCGAAAACTTTCATTTTTAAATTTCCTCGTTCGAGAATGTATTACGTCACGCTTAATTTTTTTTATTGTTTAAATGTTTTGTAGGGCTTTAATTGAAAACAATTATCAAAGCATTACAAATTGACAAAGATTAGGTCAAAGTTCGTTTTATTGCTGTGATTTCACTATTTTAACGAAACCTATACAAGTCTAAAAGAAAGTAAATATTGTACTATTGTATTTTTTATCAAATTATTTTTATTTAAAAGTAAAAAGTAAAAATGTTAGCCTTAAAACGCCAATTTAAATAAAAAATACTGTAAAATTCTGAAACTGACTTTACAGGCCTTCATCATTTTACATTTTTTTTTTTATAATATTTGGATAATTTTTCTGTGTTTTTCATTAAAACCAGATTGAAAAAAAATGTGTGAAGTCAAATTGTTTTAAGATATATCAGTATAAAATGTAGCGATTAGCAATTTTGATGAATATAAATCGGTATGACAAACGAGAGAGTAACAATAATAGGATCAGATTTTTGTCAAACGAAAATGTATAAGATCCTGAAGAAATTTGGATTATAACATGTCCCATTCCAAGATCAAAGAGATAATGCAGGTCGATTATTGTGGATAAATTCTACTAAAATAATCATCGAACATACTCAGTAATTGAATTCTAATATTTAGATCATAAAATGTGTCAAACGATGTTAGTCGTGCTCAAATTTTGACAAATTAATCCTACACAAGAGCAAGCATACACGTCGGTATTTTAAAAACCTTTAGCGAATGTTAATGCATGTAACGTTTATCACTGTACAAAACCTTATCAATATAACCTGTATTAATAAGTATATTCACGGTAATGTACCATGGATTGTTGCAGAAAGATTTTATCTGAATTGTTGTTTATCTTCAGAAATTCAGGGACAAAAATCCAGACAGGATTGTGCTGAATAAGCAGTTGTAAATATCTTTGAATAACAAGTTTTAAAGAAAAGAATTACAAGTTGATACTTAGAATATTTAGCCTTTGTTATTTCACTTGTCCTTTTAATTTGTTATGCATGTTTGTAAATTGGTAACAATATTGATTTAATTAACCATTTATATTTTGTAACCATTACATTATTTTTTGACAGTTTTTGTTTATAAATCAAATATATTTGCTAACTTGTCACTGGCAGAAAGAAAATAGCAAGCAAAAAATTGCAAAATGTATATTTAGCTAAAGATGTCTATTTTCTTTGCAGTTCTATCCAAAGATGAACGTATATAGTAACTCTAACCTCTCTAAATTAGTAGAAGAGTATCATTAGGATAATTTTCTTTTTTTTTTCTTTTTTCTTTTTTTTTTTTTTTTACAAAAATTACTTCATATTTGATACAAAACTGCACCAGCTTACACTTATTCATCATGTTTTGATCATGTGAAGTTTAACGAACATATAGCTCAATTTGTTTTAACCTTACATACATTTATGAACTAAATGTACATTTTAGAAAGAAATATGTTGCTACTAAACAATGGCACAAACTTACGATATGACGAGTTTTGCAATTTTATTATAGTTTTCAAATTCCTGATTCAATTGATATTTTCTTCTCTAGTATTTAATAATTTCTCCTTTTGCCTAAATAATGTGGTATATGTAATAAATAATGATAAAAGTCATTAGGTTTGCTATGAATTAAGTTTACACCGAAAGTTATTGGAATTATTGGAATTGGTAGCAATGTAGTTAAAAGAGGTGTTCATTTTAAATCAAAACAGGCAAACGTTCTTTTGGCGACACTTGATTTGAGTTGCTATATCACTGGTTTTCAGAAAGTAGTCATTGGAAATTTTAGGTTCTGTATATTGAAACTTATCAATAAATACCTTAAGTAGTTTTCTACCCAATTTTTTTTCTAGCAGGTGAAGAATTATATATCAAAAAATAAAAATATGTACAACCATGTAAATAATATAAGGAGTGTACCAAGTGTATATAAGGTAAAAAAATATTTACATAAAAGGATCGCTCACCATGATTCTGCTGTCTCCATGTAAAGTTGAGTAGAAGTGTGGTCTCCATTTATATGTCTATCATTCAGAAGACACAGCTGTAGCTCGTCACATAAATACTCAAAAAACAATGAGAAAAGGTCCGTGCTTTGTTACTAGAAGAAAGGATATTTTGTCATGGACAGCGTCTGAAGTATTCGCCTTTATGTGGTAACTGTTATACCGTTAAAAATTAGTTCCCATATAAATCTATACTAAAAAAGTCTAAAATTTCTCATGTTTTACTGAGCGGTCATAAAAAATCGATGTTCTACCGCAGAGTGAGATATTGGACCTGTGGACGAGATATTGGACCGCTTACGTCACACTTTGGGCGGGATCAGCTAAACCGTATTTGAAGTCATTATTATGGAAACCAGCAAAAGAAACATGTAATAACAAAAAATAAATAAATAAATAAAAGGTATAACAAAACATTTATTGATTGGGTTCTCGGGCAAAATGCGTCTTATCAACCCCTCGAACCAAACTGTTTGCGTTCGGCCTAACTGCCTCAGGCAAACAGTTTGGTTCCTAGGTCCAACAAAACGCATGTTGCCCTCGAACCCAGTCAATAAATGTATATTGTGGAAATACTGTACATGGAACATATGAACATCTTATTTTGATGATCTGAAGCATGTCCTTTTTATACATGAATGGAAAATCAGCTCAAGGGAGATAATAATAATGTTTATCCTGCAACTACCCCTTACATTGACCTAATAAAGGTAACCTTTATTCGGTCAATGCCCTCGTATTTTTGCTTTCATCGTGATTTCATCCAACACTGCGTCTGTATTAATAATAGACGTAATTTATCTTAATATGATCCGGACCGTCAGGGTAGCTCAGGGTAGCTCAGTCGGTAGAGCGCTCGCTCGTGATCGGGAGGTCGTGCGTTCGAATCACGGCATCGACTGACCTAAGTCGATAAAAAAAAAGGTAGCAACTGTTCCTTCGCCAAGCGCTCGGCACTTTGAGGTGAAAGTTGCAGGTCCTTCGGATGAGGAAAGGCGTCTAAGCGTCCTCTAAAATTTAGCCGCCAGCTGGCTCCTTATCAGAAAAATTTAGTCGCCTTTGTAAATTTTTAGTCGCCAAACAGATTTTTCTTAATCGTCAGTTTTAAAAGCTGATATTAGTCAAAATACGGACCCATTGAGTTAATCACTGGAAGGGGAGTCTATTGCAATCGTAAAGGAAAACATCAACAAGAAATATACGCTAGCTAAATGCCAAAAGGTTAAACTTAAGCATGCAAGTAAAATTCCATCGTCTCAAGCCACTGCTCAATGGCCCCGAGTGCCGAGTAAAGGTCTAAATCTGAAGCCCTTCACCGGTATATGGTGACGTCTTTATATGAGTGAAAATTCTCTGACGGGACGTAAAACAACAAACAATCAATCAATCTTAATATGACCCAAGTCAAAAAGGTTTCTTCTCTGTTTGACAACTGTCTATAATTTGTTTAGCTTAACGACTGTCATTTGATGAGTGAATGAAACAGAAGAGTTAATTTTTTTTTTTTACTAAAAAACATTCTAAAAAAGGCCTTAAACATTCTGATAATTTTACAAATAGAATATCATAATAACATGTTACACATTGCCATTTAAATGTCCAAAAGTTACAAAAGGAATTCAAACATCAATAGTTTCTGCCTCAAACCCTCTGATTAATAAACAGGAGGAAAGGAAAAGTTTTTTGACAGAAAAAAATGAATTCATTTCTCCAATGACAGCCGTTTATGTCAGATGAAATGTTTTTGATGCAGAGTATTTTAAATAAAGGGCTTCTTGTATTGATACAGACACAATGTTATTTGATATCATCACCATAGTAAGTAAAAAGCAGGTATTTATCTCAAATCTCAGCTGGATGATATAATGAATATCCCGGTTATTCAACGTTCGTCCACTTGAAAACAAACCTAGTAATATGAAGATCTAGAGGTCTAGATTTCTTATCAGAGATAGATATAAATTTATTAATAATTGTAGTACTCTGTCGAAAACACTGAACGAAAAACTCTGTGGGAAATATAAGTGTTGCTCGATGTATTCGGCAAATGATCATTACATATTATTACTAATAAACTACTGGACTAAAATTTCTGATACCTGACATACAATTTATTTCTCTCTAAATAGTGTTCTCTAACCACATAATTCGTAATATCACTAACAAAAACACTAAGCACATTCATTGAAAATATCACTTTATTGAAAAGTTAGACATGTTATAAAAGAAAATCTGTCAATTTATTTTTCTGGATTAAAATACGGTTCATCTATCAACTGAAAGAAAAAGAAGGGGGGAAAAATAATATCAATTAAATATTTTAACAATAGAAATTAAGATTAAATGTAACTGGTTAATTAAACTCAGACAAAGATAGCAGGTAACTTTAGTTTTATTTTAACTATTTATAATATAATATAATTATTTTGCTTAAATTCCGTTTCAAAGGCTTATCGGTACAATCTGTTTATACCAAACTACCAAATCCATAATAACAACGAAAATCGATCGAAGTTTGTTTCACTTTAAACAAAGATAGAGATTCAAGGAAACTTTAAGGATCAGATGGTTTCTGAAAGACAATAGCAAATAGTTTAGTATAGGCACAAGATGTCTCTACTGACTCTGTGACGTTTCTTACCATGTTTGGCGGCGGTTTGAAATGTCTAGGGAGGTTGCAGCATTTGCATGATTCAATGTATGGTTTATTCAAGTCACTTGTTCCACAACGTTCATACTTTTCTAGTTCAGGACAGTATGATTCGCCATGTGAGCAGATTCTAACCATGCAACCATCTGTGATGAGTACCAAGTAAAACTTTATTTATCATTTGCAAAAAAAAAATTAGAAATAAACATTATATGAATAAATAGGAAATGAGATAGATACTGATATAGCAATACTCATTAATATTCTAAATATTTACCAAAATATTTTTACATATAAAATAACAAATAATGACTATTTAAGCAAACCTTTTAAATAAATTTATCTTCTCGTCTTTGAATTTATATTAATCCTTGCTTATAAAGGAATTCTTAAGTGAATTAATGTTTTCAATCTATTATCTGAATGTTATACTAGTATAGCCATATAAAGGGTGTTAATATATACTCGTATGATTTACTGTATAGCCATATAAAGGGTGTAAAA